TAATAGCCACATTATTCTTTTGTCAGTCTTGGTGAAAATGATGTCCTTGTTCTTCTTTGAAATGGCCAGAGCACTAAAATGACTCTTCAGAACGTTAATTCCTTGTTACATACCCCAAGGAAACAGCAGGTAACCTTTGATTTCTGGTATTATATTTACTAGAAATAGAAGCCTGTTCCAACCAGGAAATCAATTTGTAAATGCAAACAGTGGATCTAGACAGAAATAAAAATTATAATTAAGAACACATATGCAAACAAAAAAAAATCCATTCTGAAAACAAACAAATGAATAACAGTACACCATTTACAAGATTTACAGTTCTGATTATTATATTATACCGTACATATCAGAGGATGTAGTGCGGATGACAAGAAACAGATGATTGCTGATGTTATGAATGAAAAGAAGTTGGATGTCCTGGCCCTAAGCGAAACAAAGCTGAAGGGGGTAGGAGAGTTTCAGTGGGGGGAAATAAATGGGATTAAATCTGGAGTATCTGAGAGAGTTAGAGCAAAGGAAGGGGTAGCAGTAATGTTAAATGATCAGTTATGGAAGGAGAAAAGAGAATATGAATGTGTAAATTCAAGAATTATGTGGATTAAAGTAAAGGTTGGATGCGAGAAGTGGGTCATAATAAGCGTGTATGCACCTGGAGAAGAGAGAAATGCAGAGGAGAGAGAGAGATTTTGGGAGATGTTAAGTGAATGTATAGGAGCCTTTGAACCAAATGAGAGAGTAATTGTGGTAGGGGACCTGAATGCTAAAGTAGGAGAAACCTTTAGAGAGGGTGTGGTAGGTAAGTTTGGGGTGCCAGGTGTAAATGATAATGGGAGCCCTTTGATTGAACTTTGTATAGAAAGGGGTTTAGTTATAGGTAATACATATTTTAAGAAAAAGAGGATAAATAAGTATACACGATATGATGTAGGGCGAAATGACAGTAGTTTGTTGGATTATGTATTGGTAGATAAAAGACTGTTGAGTAGACTTCAGGATGTACATGTTTATAGAGGGGCCACAGATATATCAGATCACTTTCTAGTTGTAGCTACACTGAGAGTAAAAGGTAGATGGGATACAAGGAGAATAGAAGCATCAGGGAAGAGAGAGGTGAAGGTTTATAAACTAAAAGAGGAGGCAGTTAGGGTAAGATATAAACAGCTATTGGAGGATAGATGGGCTAATGAGAGCATAGGCAATGGGGTCGAAGAGGTATGGGCTAGGTTTAAAAATGTAGTGTTAGAGTGTTCAGCAGAAGTTTGTGGTTACAGGAAGTGGGTGCAGGAGGGAAGAGGAGCGATTGGTGGAATGATGATGTAAAGAGAGTAGTAAGGGAGAAAAAGTTAGCATATGAGAAGTTTTTTACAAAGTAGAAGTGATGCAAGGAGGGAAGAGTATATGGAGAAAAAGAGAGAAGTTAAGAGAGTGGTGAAGCAATGTAAAAAGAGAGCAAATGAGAGAGTGGGTGAGATGTTATCAACAAATTTTGTTGAAAATAAGAAAAAGTTTTGGAGTGAGATTAACAAGTTAAGAAAGCCTAGAGAACAAATGGATTTGTCAGTTAAAAATAGGAGAGGAGAGTTATTAAATGGAGAGTTAGAGGTATTGGGAAGATGGAGGGAATATTTTGAGGAATTGTTAAATGTTGATGAAGATAGGGAAGCTGTGATTTCGTGTATAGGGCAAGGAGGAATAACATCTTGTAGGAGTGAGGAAGAGCCAGTTGTGAGTGTGGGGGAAGTTCGTGAGGCAGTAGGTAAAATGAAAGGGGGTAAGGCAGCCGGGATTGATGGGATAAAGATAGAAATGTTAAAAGCAGGTGGGGATATAGTTTTGGAGTGGTTGGTGCAATTATTTAATAAATGTATGGAAGAGGGTAAGGTACCTAGGGATTGGCAGAGAGCATGCATAGTTCCTTTGTATAAAGGCAAGGGGATAAAAGAGAGTGCAAAAATTATAGGGGGATAAGTCTGTTGAGTGTACCTGGTAAGGTGTATGGTAGAGTTATAATTGAAAGAATTAAGAGTAAGACGGAGAATAGGATAGCAGATGAACAAGGAGGCTTTAGGAAAGGTAGGGGGTGTGTGGACCAGGTGTTTACAGTGAAACATATAAGTGAACAGTATTTAGATAAGGCTAAAGAGGTCTTTGTGGCATTTATGGATTTGGAAAAGGCGTATGACAGGGTGGATAGGGGGGCAATGTGGCAGATGTTGCAAGTGTATGGTGTAGAGGTAGGTTACTGAAAGCAGTGAAGAGTTTTTACGAGGATAGTGAGGCTCAAGTTAGAGTATGTAGGAAAGAGGGAAATTTTTTCCCAGTAAAGGTAGGCCTTAGACAAGGATGTGTGATGTCACCGTGGTTGTTTAATATATTTATAGATGGGGTTGTAAGAGAAGTTAAATGCGAGGGTCTTGGCAAGAGGCGTGGAGTTAAAAGATAAAGAATCACACACAAAATGGGAGTTGTCACAGCTGCTCTTTGCTGATGACACTGTGCTCTTGGGAGATTCTGAAGAGAAGTTGCAGAGATTGGTGGATGAATTTGGTAGGGTGTGCAAAAGAAGAAAATTAAAGGTGAATACAGGAAAGAGTAAGGTTATGAGGATAACAAAAAGATTAGGTGATGAAAGATTGAATATCAGATTGGAGGGAGAGAGTATGGAGGAGGTGAACGTATTCAGATATTTGGGAGTGGACGTGTCAGCGGATGGGTCTATGAAAGATGAGGTGAATCATAGAATTGATGAGGGAAAAAGAGTGAGTGGTGCACTTAGGAGTCTGTGGAGACAAAGAACTTTGTCCTTGGAGGCAAAGAGGGGAATGTATGAGAGTATAGTTTTACCAACGCTCTTATATGGGTGTGAAGCGTGGGTGATGAATGTTGCAGCGAGGAGAAGGCTGGAGGCAGTGGAGATGTCATGTCTGAGGGCAATGTGTGGTGTGAATATAATGCAGAGAATTCGTAGTTTGGAAGTTAGGAGGAGGTGCGGGATTACCAAAACTGTTGTCCAGAGGGCTGAGGAAGGGTTGTTGAGGTGGTTCGGACATGTAGAGAGAATGGAGCGAAACAGAATGACTTCAAGAGTGTATCAGTCTGTAGTGGAAGGAAGGCGGGGTAGGGGTCGGCCTAGGAAGGGTTGGAGGGAGGGGTAAAGGAGGTTTTGTGTGCGAGGGGCTTGGACTTCCAGCAGGCATGCGTGAGCGTGTTTGATAGGAGTGAATGGAGACAAATGGTTTTTAATACTTGACGTGCTGTTGGAGTGTGAGCAAAGTAACATTTATGAAGGGATTCAGGGAAACCGGCAGGCCGGACTTGAGTCCTGGAGATGGGAAGTACAGTGCCTGCACTCTGAAGGAGGGGTGTTAATGTTGCAGTTTAAAAACTGTAGTGTAAAGCACCCTTCTGGCAAGACAGTGATGGAGTGAATGATGGTGAAAGTTTTTCTTTTTCGGGCCACCCTGCCTTGGTGGGAATCGGCCAGTGTGATAATAATAAAAAAAAAACCGTACATATAGTACAGCACTACACTGGGGAAAAATTACTTGGGTTTGGGATATTGGCAGTTTGGAGGGACTTCTAAACTGTCATTTCTGAGTGCCTCTGAAAAAGACTGAGTATGTACAAGTGATGGTGAAAGTGTTGAATGATGATGAAAGTATTTTTTCTTTCTTTTTGGGTCACCCTGCCTCGGTGGGAAACAGCTGATGTGTTAAAAAAAAATCAACTCGATCAAGAGAAATACTCCTTCCATACTAATGACAATAACAATGAGGTATTTTGTCATTTTAGTCACAATCTATTTCAAACGATGCAGAGAAAGATGAGAGAATCTGCTAGGATCACTGAATAAGAACATCTGCCACCTACTGAACACTTGTCATCTAAAATTTGGCAAACTATGAAGATATATACTACAGTGGACCCCCGCTTTACGATCAGCTCCCAACGCGACCAATTATGTAAGTGTATTTATGTAAGTGCGTTTGTATGTGTATGTTTGGGGGTCTGAAATGGACTAATCTAATTCGCAATATTCCTTATGGGAACAAATTCGTTCAGTAATGGCACCTGAACATACTTCTGGAATGAAATAATATCATAAGCTGGGGGTCCACTGTATAAAGATATAAAAAGTGACCAACACAGTGCAAGATAGAGGCCTTTTGTAATTGCCACAGATCTGTCGACCTTTTGTAGGGTCTTCTTTCTTGCCTTCTTTAGCTTTGGGATCTGCCTTGCTTGCGTGCAAGAGGAATTCCCTCCCACTTATAAATCACTCGCTTTATGAAAATTTCCCACCAGAACAATATTTATGTTATTACTTGCATTTTTTAACGGGTCACTCCAACAGAGTAATGCATAGTTAGTGTATGGTTCACAGTATCTACGCACATATATATAATATTCTTATAACTTTGTCTCAATTAACACAATTACTATAACATGATCAACTATTGTTTATTTCCTGAAAAAAAAATGAAAATAAAATAAAAAATACACCATAAACACACTTTTATCATACTAATACTGTTAAGATTAAACTCAAAATTTAACAGACTAATAGGGAAATGTAGATGGCTGGTAATGACAATAATACTAGATAGAGAGGAGAGTGTTTTGTCATGATTGTGACCACAACAGACAACTCTATAAATAACAGGCTTTGTCTCAGTCCTTGTATCATGATTCTGAATCAACTGACCCAGTGGAGTTTCTACCATATTTCCAAAGTCCATTAAATATAGGTACATTAAACTAAGGGGAAATTTATTATACTTGAATATAGTCATTTCATGAACATACTCAGAATTTTTTACTACAAGTTACTGAAGGCATTTCTGAAAAGTTCTCAAACAGCAAATTTCACAAGTTCTTATTTCTGATATAAAGAAAAAACAGTATCTTAAAGCTAGCCACTATAAGAAAGACTTACTTGAAAAGTAAATGGCAATAACTTATACCTAGACACCATAACGCAGAGTATGTAGACATACTTGAGAAGTGAATGGCAGGTGGTGCGGTGCTGGAGGGAAGCGTTGCTGGAAGTTGGGGTTAGTAATATCGAAAGGAATATGTTCTTCTAGAGGAGGGTTGCGCCAAGCATCGCTTCCACTGCCACCACCTGTTACCCCACGGTTGCCAAGTTCCATTAACGTGTCATCCAGACCCATGTTATTGTTGCGAAGTGCTGCTTCAATGTCTTCCTTCTGTATGGAAGGAGATTAAAGCTCAGGGAAACAAGAGATAAAAAGAAACACAAGTGAAACATTTTAAACCTCTAAGCAAACTGCACATATTCTGAAAATGAAGAAACATTTTAAGCCCATAGCCGAGCAAAGACAAGCAGTTTCAGGTGATGACCTTAGAAGAAAAAAATTTTCATTAAAGAAATTATAGATTAGTCAAATGTATTTTTCCTTATGCCCTCAATGCAGCAGCCACAATTATTTCTGGCAAGAGTGATTGTCATTAATCTTGTGGCAGGGAAGACTGACTGTACAGTATTTGTTTTTTATATTAGGAAATAACTGAGTGTGGTAATCTTAATGGTACAAGACTGATCAAGCATACATATTACTTTTTATACCAGAACAGATATCCTGGGTTTATTACTGTCTTCTAAATATGAGCAAATGCCATTTATGATTATCATCAATCACCATAAGTGAGAATTGACAAAAAAAATCTGCATACATATTATTTAAGATTCAAAGTAGAAAACAAGACCCATAATTGCAGATATAAAGTAATGCCACAAGGTAAACTGAAATAATGAAATAAGAGATAACATGGTGTTACAGCATTAGGCCAAGTTTGTCATGGATGAAATTGTTCATTAACAGCTGACAACTTAATAAAGATGCTTTATGATGAAGAATATTATTGTCTTGATTGTTACAAAATAGCAACCAGTAGAAAGTTTATAAATGGAGATACAAGTACCTAAGATATAAGCAAGTGTTCTAAACTGTAAGTAGAACAAAGAATCAAAGTCACTGTACCAAGTAAGAGCGTGTGCACGTGCGTGCGTGCGTGCGTGCGTGTGTGTGTGTGTGTGTGGTGTGTGTGTGTGTGTGTGTGTGTGTGTGTGTGAGAGTGAGTGAGAGTGAGAGAGTGAGAGAGTGAGTGAGGAGTGAGTGAGTGGTGAGAGGGGAGTGAGTGAGTGAGAGTGAGTGAGAGTGAGTGAGAGTGAGTGAGAGTGAGTGAGAGTGAGAGTAAAGTGAGTGAGTGAGAGTGAGTGAGTTGGTGAGTGAGCGAGTGAGTAAAGAGTGAGTGAGAGTGAGTGAGTGTGAGTGAGAGAGTGAGTGAGAGAGTGAATGAGAGTGAGAGAGTGAATGAGAGTGAGAGTGAGTGAGGGGGTGGGAGTGAGAGGGAGTGGGAGTGAGAGTGAGTGAGAGTGAGTGAGAGCAAGTGAGTGGGAGTGAGAGTGAGTGAGAGTGAGTGAGTGAGTGAGTGAGAGCGAGTGAAGAGTGAGTGAGCGAGTGAGAGTGAGTGAGCAAGTGAGAGTGAGCGAGCGAGTGAGAGTGAGTGAGTGAGTGAGAGTGAGTGAGAGTGAGTGAGTGAGAGTGAGTGAGAGTGAGAGTGAGTGAGAGTGAGAGTGAGTGAGTGAGAGAGTGGGAGTGAGTGAGAGTGGGAGTGAGTGAGAGTGGGAGTGAGTGTGAAGTGTGTGCATGTGCATGCATGTATGCACATATGAGCACGCAGGGATCAAAATGTAGTACTATTTAAAGCAACGCACTTCCCACTTCAGAGGCTCTGAAGCAATTTTCAGTGAAATGTCTCTTCACCCCTATTTAACTGGGTGTTTGTCAACTTGCTAAAACTTTGCATAATGTGCTGGAAACATTTATTCAACAAACTAGCATTCAAACTCAGGGCCACTAAAATACCAGCCCAGCATCAACCTTTTAAAAGCTGTTCCCTGCATCAAAACAGTTTATTTAACACTAACCCTTGGATTGAACCCTGGATGTGATTACATACTTTAAGGTCACTTAAAGACAAAAGAGGTGTACCTATAATTATGTACAGTAGCAGATGCTCCTTTTCATTACTTTCATTTTCAATCATTTTCTCAAATTCAGACTTGCCTTATTTTGTTAGTATTAAATTAAAAATGCACACATTTCATATATTGGGAATTATCTAACACTGAGTATATACAGTACAGTATTTGTAAATACAGTGGACCCCCGCATAACGATCAGCTCCCAACTCGACCAATTATGTAAGTGTATTTTTGTAAGTGCTTTTGTAGGTGTATTTTTGGGGGTCTGAAACGGACTAACCTAATTCACAATATTTCTTATGGGAACAAATTCGGTCTATAACGGCACCCAAACAGACTTCTGGATTGAAATAATATCGTTATGCGGGGGTCCACTGTATTTTTTGATACTTGCTGGTATGGCAGTGTAGTTTCTTGATCAAATCAAGCTTTAAGGAAGAGGTAAAAGTACTGTAACATGTTGAGAAGCTGAAGATTACTTGCAATTGATAACATTCCGATTTTTAACCTTGGAATCACTTTCATTTAATAAGTATAGGTACCATCCGACTTATGACCGAGCTTGGTTCCGACCAACCGGTCGCAAGTCAAAATGGATGCAAGTCGAACCTTACTACTGAATATCAACATCACATTTTTGTAATGACTATTTTATTGTTTTATTTTGGTATTTCATTTTATACTTTACTTTTTATGTTGTTAACACTGTATTTTATACTGTGAGGTTTAGGATAAACACTGTGTACAACACAAACAGTTGTTTATTTCCCAGAAATCTGGCATACAAAACACGGTCGTAAGTTGGGTGGTCATATGTTGAGCAGGTCGCAAGTCGGATGGTAGGTGTATTCTCCTTAAACCTACAAACATACTCCTGTTATAAATACAGTACTTTGTCTTTCACATATTGCAGGCATCATAATTTTTATTCAGCCAGTTTTATTAGCCATTTTTCTCCAGTGAGTACATGAATCAAATCTGGCTGGCTAATGTATAAAGTCAATAAAACTACATGTTGTAATACTTACTGATATATATATATAATCTTTACTCTCCACTGGTTAGTAACAGCTGTTAAAGATAACTGAATAAATCACTCAGTCTTAAGGCAAAAGGCAATCTTTAAGTGACTATCTTCCCCTTACTCAATCTTGGCCTAAGAGACTGCCATCACCCAAGCAGTGCTCATGTTTGTGTAAGGGCTTTTTCAAGTTTCTGCCATTTCAAACTACTCAACACTTATCTTATAAATTTGGATATATTAATTTTAAAATTCATGGTATGAAAAATAAGCTTATGAATTTGTGACCTCCCAAGTAGAAGTCTCACACAACAGCCACAACTGGCCTAGGAAACTGTCTATGCATTGTGCAGCTATTTTTAGTAATACATAAAACACAGCACTTTATTTGGTAAACACACACACACACACACACACACACACACACACACACACACACAGGAGCTATGAATCAACCCCTTCAACCATAATTAGGGGAGTACACAAAATGAATTCATTCATTCACACTCACTCTTTCGTTCTCTCTCATTCACCCACTAATTCATTCATACTCTCCTTCTCATTCATTCATACTCTTTCATTCATTTTCTTCATTCACTGATTCTCTCTCACTCACTCTCTCTCTCTCTCTTTCATTCACACTTTCATACTCTCTTTTTCATTCACACTCACTCTCTCATTCTCTCTCTCACACACAGTAAATGGTGAAATCTGACTTGTAACAAAACACACAAACCATTCATAAAGATATCACTTATCTGTTCCCAGGTTGCCAAGGAAACATCACAGGAATAAGAACTACATATTAAGAAACACAGGAAAACAATTATGTATGAGTGTACACTGAATACAAGTACAGTGCAAGTGTTACATTTACCTGCCATTTTAAATATTCAAGGGAGAGAAAGAGACCAGTAACCCAAGAGTGCAAAACATTAAACAGGCTTTGGCTCAATACATGACAACTTAAATGGCAGCACCTCCCTGAATGGTTGTCTACAATCCTGCTGCCTGAGCATGTGAAACTAATACAAGCGATAAACTTATGATAAGCCTCTTGGTGTTATCATAACTGCTGTCAGTTTTAGTACCATGTAGCTACATAATATTAATGTCTCAATTTTTATACTGGTAAGTTTAGGTGTATGCATAGTACATGCATTATTATTACTGTTATTATTACTATTACAAGCTATTATTATTATATTCATAATAAAAAACAAGCACAACACCCACAAAGGTCGTGAATAGCTATAGACAGAGTGAAGGCATACGAAAGGAAAAAATTTCTAGTAAAGTTACTGGCATTTGACTAGAGAAATCCTAATTCTTCCAACCCTCCCACCAACAGCTTGATAAACAAATATCATATTTATGTCAATTTTTATACTGTGGGTGTATGTATCATGTTTATGTTACGAAGCGTGTTTATTCTATAATTATGAAAAAATATCACATATGGATTAATGGAAATGTCTATATACAACATTTAATACACCCAGATTATTATTATTATTATTAACCCCTTGACTGTCGCAACCCCCAATCCTGAGGTGTCTCCTGGTGTCGCAAAATTTAAAAAAAAAATTATTTTTTCTTATGAAAAGATAGAGAATCTTTTCCAGACTGTAATGACACCAAAAAAAAAAATAATTTGATGGAAAACTGACAGAATTACACTCTTGCGAAGTTAGCGACCTCTGCGATATTTACAAATCGGCGATTTGGTCCATTTTGAGCCCTATTTTCGGCTAATTCCATTGTTCCAGTCGACCAAACTCATAGCTATTTCTTTAGAACTCCATTTTTTCTATTGACTGAGTACAAGGAACTGCCCATTTACCAATTTCAACTACTCAATAACGTGGTCAGAAATTTGCAATTTGGCCAATTTCACAAAAATTAAAAAATATGAAAATTTCAAAGGTTCAAAATGAAAATTGCACACATTCCTGGCTCTAAAATAACATTTTCTTTGTTCATCAATCACATCTCCAGGCCCCTCTGATATTACTCTTGCTTTCTATTTTGAATTTTTATTCAAACAAAAAATAGAAGATTTACTGTTATGCAGACTACTGTAATACTGTAATAATTGTACAAATAATGTCAATCCATTTATGACTGCATATTAGAATGGCTAGTTGAACATTGATTGGAAAATGACATCATTTGTTTACTTTTGAACATCGGCAAAAATCAAACATTTCCCCTAATTTGAGCTC